TCTCTCTCTCTCTCTCTCTCTCTCTCGTGCTCTCTCTCTCTCTCTCTCTCTCTCTCTCTCTTTCTTTCTTTCCCCCTCTCTTTCTCTCTCCGCCGTGAACAACTCTCGATTTTACATAGTTGTCAGCGCTGCGCAGATGCCTTAGTGACAACGCGCCCAAGTATCCGGTACCCCCCCCTCCCCATCCACTCCCCTTATTTGTGGCTGCCACGCAACTTTTACATAGATTGATTTTAACGGAGTATGCTGAGTCATTGAACAGGGGTGGGGATGTAAGCGTAGTAGACTTGTGGTTTGTACATGCACGTACAATCACACATACAATACATACATACATACATACACATGCACGCACGCACGCACGCACGAACGCACGCACACACACACACGCACCCACATACATACGTACGTACATCATATGTACATGCATGTAGAGTGCTTTAGGAGTGCACGGAGAAAAGGCACGAGCGCAAGTGAACACGCGTCAAGCTAGCCCGACCACGCTGTGTTACTCCGTGCAAGTAGCCATGTCGAATTAATACGGTATACAGTCTTTGTCCCGCTACACGTATATTCACAGCATACGAAGACTCTTAGGGTATCGAATAGGGTATTGAATTAGCATATCGATTAGGGCTTTAGGGTATCGAATAGCGCATACGTCATATACTACATATACAGGTATTCCGGTCGGATTTCCCATGGGCGGCCATACATACGGCAAAAAGTCCCATAAAACAGCTGATTATTTCAAGAAATAACAATGCCACTTTCTGAATTGACGTTGTAAGTGACACCATATATGTTATTGACTCTTCTAATAATATATAATTCTTCCATAATTTTCTGTAAACAAACCTTTCCCGGCGCGCACGTAAAACGGCCAATTTACAATACGATTTTCACGCCAAAAAGTAGGCTTCATTTAAAAACTACCCGTCCGCCACAGAAATGCAAACCGGACGGGCCACCCACACTGTCAAACGCAGCAACGATTCTAGCTTCTTAAATTAACCATTGCAATTGAGTTCTAACCGTCTCCATCGACAAATAAAGAAAAATTGAAGCGCACGGATACACAGCAAGAGGATATAATTATTTCACCTGTCCCAGCCGCTCATTGGCTGTCATCATTTGCCGCTCATTGGCTATCATATGCACCCATAATACCTACCATATAAATATATAGAGACACTACTCCGGTCTACTATATATAGTAGGTAGTATATAGTATGTACTATATAGAGAGTCTAGTATATTATTTCAATGATAGCTACCCAGAGCAGCTTCCCTCTGGGAAGATGTTTAGTTGATAGTGAGTGACAGGGAACAGGCCGAGCGTGAGTGTGCGAGCTACACGCTCCACCGACACCACAGCGATTAACGACGTGTCCGTTTACAATAACACAATATCGATCTATAGCATGATAAATAATATAATGTGATAACGATTATTATCATCTGATGGAGTTATTCACGCTAGGTATACGTTATCGCTAGTATAGGTGTGTGGTGGTCATCGTGTACCGCGGTTATGCTTGACGCTAGCTCCAAGAAACGGTCTTTGCTAGGGTTAGAAGACCTATAGTGTATATATTGACGTGCACCGGGAGAACAATATATATATATATATATATATATAGCTGTGATATAGCTCCTTTGTTGCATGACTCTCGAAAACACATTTGTGCACCATAACCACCAGTTGTGCATGCACAATAACACCGGGAGTGCATGAAAACGAACGATGTTTTGTTCGTGTGCGCGTTTGGTATTAGTTGTCGTGTTTTTTTGGATTTCATTTCATTCTTGGTGACGTCAATGATAAAAGACTCGGTCGCGCACATCGGTAGTACGACATCGCCGATTGAGAGAAAGATTTCCTTTTAGTGAGAGGTGGGCGGCATGCAGACTGATATAGACTATAAAACTACATACCTATATAAACGACTCTCTNAGGTGGTGATGAAGAAGAGGTAAGGGGGAGAGATATTAGACGCAGCGACGCTTGTTGCATTGATGACGTCACATCGACGCGTGGTGGCGCTGCATGCACTGAATACGTCACACCCCGTGATCTCCATCACTCACGTGTTTGTAGTATATTTCTATGATCAAAGCTGCGTGAAATATCTTTTGAAACTTAATGAAAGCGAATGATATCTATCGGCGTAGCTTTGTCACAGGCAGCGTCTTGGAAACGTATTTATTCTTGTGATGCCATGTGTGTAAATATATAAGTAGCTTGACTGAATAATAGATATGCAATCATGTCCGGTTGTCGGTCGGTCTCTTTACTCTCTGTCGCCGTGTCGTAAGCAGGCCGCGTGTTTGCGTGTACATACCTAGCATGGGCTTATGACTAGTTAAGCTAGGTACATATAATGCCGCAGCTAGATACATAGAACGTTGTATACATACACGAGCTGTCACACACACACACACACACACACACACGCAGACGCACACACACGCACACACACACACGCACGCACGCACGAACACGCACGCTAAACACGCCGCACGCACTGGCCACGCTACGCACGTCACACACCACACACGCACGCCATCACACTATCACACACACACACGTACACGCACACTGGCACGGCGCACACGCACACGCACACGCCACGCTACACGCACGACGCCACACTCTGCGCACCACGCACACGCTACACGCGAACACGACAACACGCACGCACACACAACGCAGAGGCACACCGTCAACGCACGACGCACACGCACAGCGCACAGCGCACACGCACAGCGCACGCACACGCACACGCACCGCAGCGACACGCACACGCACAGCGCACGCACAGCACACACACTGCATGGCACGCACGTAAAGTACGCCACGCATCGCACGCACAACGACAGCACGCACGACACACAGCACACCACCGCATGCACGGCACGTAACACGCGCACGCCACGACGCACGCACGCACGCACGCCACTACACACGCACGCGACGCACGGCAGCGCACGCACGCACGCCAGCGCACGCACGCACACACACACACCACACATCAGCACTCCAGTCCACTTAGTTACTCTGCAGCCTAACTACGATTCAGTACACATGTCAGCGGTGTATAGAGTGATATCATTCAGTACACCGTCGCGGCGTATAGAGCTGCTGAAGTGTAGGCAGGTTGCCGACTGCGATGCGATACTAGTAGTAGTAACAACTATCGCTGCAACGCTGTCGCTCAATAAGTCAAATAAATGTTATTATTAACGTCGGCCACATAAAAGGCCCACGAGAGAGACGGAGAAGAAATTTAAAGCGGTAATGACACGACAAAACAAAGCCAAAACTGCCGCGGAGGCAACGATTAGAGGCGCGCGGGGCCATTGTCTGCTGCTGCTGCGCTGCTGCTCGCCTGACTGCCCTGCTGCTTTACTGGCTGGCTACTGGCTGGCCCTGCTACTACTGCTGCCTGTACTACTTGCCTGTTACTGGATGCTGTCTTGTACTACTAGCTGGCGTGCTACTGCTGCTGCATACTGACTATTGCTGCCGTTACTTGCTGCTGTTGCTGCTCACTTATGATTGTGGTTGTGCTGCCTGTGCTGTTGCTGCTTTGCTGCTGCTGTGCTGCTACTACTATTGGCCTGCTGCCTGCTAATCTGCTGACTGCTGCTGCTTTACTTGCTACTCTAGGCAACGGCGTCATCAGCCTTACACTTCATTACGAAGTTCCAGGTCGTCATTGGTGTAACATAGGTCGCGTAACGAGGTAGGCTGGCGTGACGTGCATTTGGGTTGAATATCACGTGACCCGCACGTGTCGAAGAAGTCAACGAAGGAGTCACGCGGACACGCGTTGTCGTCTATACACACGCGTGCGCGCATATGTTACACGCACGCGCACGCACGCGCACCGCGACACGCACACACACACACACACACGGACACAACCTTACACGTATAAGTGAGAACGTATAAGATAGAGAGAGAGGGGGGAGAGAGAACGGAAAGAGAGGGAGAGAGAGAGTGTGAGACGGAAAGAAATATAGTCGAGATGATAAAGAGAGAGCAGAGAGAGGAAAGAGAGAGACAGGAGAGAGAGAGAGAGATGGAGAGGAGCCCGCGCGCGGGCCGAGAGGAGAGAGGAGATGAGAGAGAGAGCAGAGAGAGAGAGAGCGGGACTAAAAGCGAGTGAGAAAAGAAGCACGAATAATACCGCGTGAACACGAAATACAATGGCGAAACGCTCGCCCTATGCTATGATTAATGAGTTAAACTCGCCACCTCATATACCCGCGCAGGGCATCGCAGCTATTAAGCGCCGTAAGTTACGTTTTTGATGTCCGTCAGAGCTGGACATTTATTGCAGAGACGTGAGGCATGTGAGGTAAATACCTGCGTGTCTAGAACACGTATGGATCGGGTCGTGTTGTCGGCTGGTTGTCGGCGGCTACTGGTGCGTTGCACACTGGTAACACGTGCTCGTCTCTGGCCCCGATCTGGCTTCCCTTCTTTCTCTCGTTTCGCTCTTGGCCTCTCTCTCTCTCTCTCTTCTCTCTCTCTGGCTCCTCTCGTCTTCCGTTTTTTTCTTACACTCTCATTCGCCTCTCTCTCTCTTTCTCTTTTCTCTCTCTCTCTCTCTCTCTCTCTTTCTCTCTCTCTCTCTCTCTCTCGCTCTCTTTCTTCTCCGTTTTCACTCTCCACTCTCTCTCTCTCTCTCTCTCTCTCTCTCGTTTCACTTTCCACGTCTCTCTCTCTCTCTCTCTCTCTCTTCTCTCTCTCTCGCTTCTCTCTCTCTCTCGTTTCAGCTCTGCCACTCTCTCTCTCTCTCTCTCTCTCTCTCTCTCTCTGCTCTCTCTTGTTTTCCCTCTCTCTTCTCTCTCTCTCTATCTGTTTTTCTTTCTCTCTCTTCTCTTCTCTTTTCGTTTTCACTCTCCACTCTCTCCTCTCTCTCTGCGTCTCTCTCTCGCTCTCTTTTTCTCGTTTCACTCCACTCTCAGATCTTCTCTCTCTCTGCATCTCTCGCGTCTGCTCTCTTCTCGTTTTCATTTTCACTCTCTCTCTCCGCTCTCTTTTGTTTCCTCTCTCTTCTCTCTTTTTCTCTCTGCTCTCTCTCTCTCTTTTTCTCTCTCTCTCTCTCTTTCTCCACTCTTGCTCTCTCTCTCGACTCTCCCGTTGTCTCTGCTCTCTCTCTCTCTCTCTCTCTCTCTCTCTCTCTCTGTCTTTTATGTTACGGCGTTAATGTCTTTCTCTGGCGCCTCTCGCTACCTCTTCTTGCTTTCTCGCCCGTCTCGTCGCTGTCTTTATCGTTGCTACACCGAAGTCCGCAAGGCTCAATGTCATTCTCTGGTCTCTTGCAACCCTTGGCCTTCGCGCGTAGTCTCTCGCGTGCCTTTTTCTGTTTCTCTCTCTGCTCTCTCTCTGCTCCTCTTCTCTTCTCCTTCTCCTGTGCCCGCCCGTTCTATTTTCTGTCTGTCTCTTTCCTCTCTGTCTTCTCCCTCTCTCACTCTCTCTCTCTACTCTCATGCCTCTCTCTCTCTCTCTCTCCGCTCTTTCTCTCTCCTGTGCCCTTTTCTATTTTCTGCTGGTCTTCTTTTCTCTCTCTCTCTTCTCTCTGCTCTCTCTCTCTCTCCGTCGCTCTTTCTCTCTCCCCGAGCCCCTTTCTATGTTTTCTGCTCTGTCTCTTTTCTCTCTCCTTCTCTCTCTCTCTCTCTCTCTCTCTCTCTCTCTCTCTCTCTCTTTCTCTCTCCCGTGCCCTTTCTATTTTCTGTCTGTCTCTTTCTCTCTCTCTCTCTCTCTCTCTCTCTCTCTCTCTCTCCCCCGCTGGCCCACTTTGTCTGACTTTTGCTGGTGCCTACTCTCTTTCGGTCCTCTCTCTTCCTCTCGCACGTCGCTCGTCGGGCTCTTCTCGTCTTATAGTACCTTCTGGTCTCTCTCTCTCTTTTTGATCTCTTTTTCGATCGCGCGCGCGCGCGCGCTCTCTCTCTCTTTCTCTCTACCTCGCACCCTCTCTCGCGCGCGCGCTCTCTTTCTATGCCTCGCCTTTCTTTCTCCGTTCGAGCTATATTCGGTGCTTGCGAGCACATAGGTATAGATGTAAGTAAGACTAGCTTCTAGCTTCTACATCTAGATAGTTAGTTATAGTTAGCGAGGTGAGGATGTCGTCTGCGATTATCCAAAAACTCCCGCGCGCCGGAATTTCTCGCGGGCGCGTGTGTGACATTTCAGCGCGTATATATATAGATATATATCTATATATTTGTTTTTGTAGGTGTATGTGTGTGTGCGTGCGTGCGTGCGCGGACTAACTCAGCGGAATTAATAGTAAAGCAAACACGCGAAAGAAACCCATGCTAATCACCGACGAATAGCCGGGGAATAGAGGTGATATACTCGCCTTGAGATTCCGTGTGTTCCCGGGCGGGAGGAGGGTGCAGGATATCTCCCGTACTGGACTTGAGGAGAAGGTCTCGTAATTAATTTGAGCTTTACGTTAATCGCCTTAAGCACCTGCTCCGTGGCGCGCGTGGGAGAGAGAGAGGGAGATAAGGGGGGTAGAGAGAGAGAGAGAGAGGAGGAGAGGGGGATAAGGGGGATAGAGAGAGAGGAGGAGGAGGGAGGAGGAGAGAGAGAGAGAGGAGGAGGAGAGAGAGAGAGTGAGAGAGAGGCAAGAGGGGGATAACGAAGGGCCATAGAGAGAGATGAGAGAGGGAGGGGGAAGAGGGTGCTAAGAGAGAGAGAGACTAGATAACAGACAGAGAAGGACGAGTGGAGAGACAAGACAGGACAGAGATGGGAGAGCGAGAGCGAGAGAAGGAAAGAGAACAGAAAGAGAGAGAGATAAAGAGAAAAGAGAGAGAAGAGAGAGAGAGAGAGAGACGAGACGGGGGGGGGGCTCGAGCGAGAGATGTCCTATGTGTGAGGAGAGAGAAGAAAGAGAAAGAGAAGAGAGAGAGAGAGAGAGAGTAGAAGGGGCTCGAGGCGAGAGAGATATTATGTTTAGAGAAAGAGAAGGAGAGAAGGAGGGGGGGGAGGGAGAACTGAGATCGAGAAGAAAGGGAAGGAGAACCAGAGACATAATGTATAATGTAAAGAGAGGGAGTACCAGAGAGCCTGATCTATATAGACTAGCTTAGACAGCGAGCAGCCACACGCCATGAGACATATTGACGCCTCATGTTGCTCCGCCGTTGTTGTTGTTGTTTGGTTTTGTTGTTTTGTTGTTGTGCGTTGTCGTTGTTCGTTGTCGTCGTTGGTTGTCGTTGTTGTTGTTATTGTTCTTGTTCTCCTTTTTCCGTTCTTCTTCTTCCTCTTTCCTCTTCTTCCTCACCTCCCTTCCTCCTTCCTCCTCTCCTCCTCCTTCTTTCCTTCCTCCTCCTCCTCCTCCCCTTCTCCTCCCCTCCTCCTTCTTCTCTCCCTCTCCTCCTCCTCCTCCTCTCCTCCTTCCTTTCTTCTGCCTTCCTCCTCTATTCCTTCTCCCTCTGGGCACTTGTTGCTCGCTGCGCTGTTCTCGGTTGTAGCTCTTTTCTTTTTTTTTAATTCGAATATTGGCATTAATCGCACAAGTGTAATTAACGCTGGCAGTGGGCCACCCTACACACACGAGCACGCCACGCACGCACTGCACGCACGGCACGCGCACACGCACGACGCCGCAATACACGCACGCACGCAACACGACGCAGACAACAGTACGCACGCAACTGTACGCACGGCAACGCATGCACCGCATCGCACGCACGGCTCAGCACGCAGCGAGCAAACGCACGCACCGCCACGCACAGCGCACGACGGCACAGCGCACGCAACGCCACGCACGCTGACTGCACAGCACGACACACATACATACACACACACTGCCACCACACACGACCACCGCACGCAACGGCACGCGCACGACGCGCACGCACGCACGCACGCGACGCACGCACGCACGACGCGCGCAATCCACACATCACACACACACACCACACGCTCCGCACACAGGGGCGCCGCCGTTATTAGCTAGGTTACACCGTATCATATCGTTGTTGGCTTAATAGCTGCCGCCCCTGGCGGCAATTCACGCTGCCACAAACAGAATCCGGTAGAGAGATAATAATATCACTAAATATTGATTGGGTTCGGCCCGCCCCCCGAAAGGCCATCCATCCGTCGGGAGCCGGCAGCATGCGCGCGGAAGGGAGGTGGGGGTAAGGGGAAAGGGCGAGAGGAAGTGGGGTGTGAGGGGAGTGGTGTAGATGGCGAATAGGGAGGGAGGTGGAGGAGGGGGGGGTAGAGCGAGCGTGGGGGTGAGAGGGGGAGAGGGTAGATGGGAATAGGGCGGAAGGTGGTGGATGGAGTGGGACTCGAAGCAAGGTGGGTGGAAAGGGGAGAAAGCTAGAGGGAGATAGGGAGGGAGGCTGGGTGGATGGGAGGGGCAATAGAGGAAGCGCGGGAGGGGGGAAAAGGGGGAGAAGTGAGGGAATAGGGAGGGAGGTTGGGGTTGGGAGGGGAATGAGGAGGTGGCGTGGAGGGGGAGAAAGTAGAGGAAATAGGGAGGGAGGTGGGGGATGGGAGGATAGAGGAGGTGGGGGGGAGGGGAGAAGTATAGGGAATAGGGAGGGGAGGTGGTGGATGGGAGGGATAGAGGAGGTGGGGTGGGAGGGGGGAGAAAGTAGAGGGAATCAGGGAGGAGGTGGGGGACTGGGAGGGATAGAGGATGTGGGGTGGGAGGGGGAGCAAAAGTAGTAGGGAATAAGGAGGAGGTGGGCGGATGGGAGGAGAGAGGGTGGGAGGGGAGAGAAAGATAGAGGAATAGGAAGAAGGTGGGGATGGGAGGCGGATAGAGGAGAGGCGAAGAAGGAATGGGGGAGGGGGAGAGGGAAGAGGTAAGGCATTTCTCTATTCATTTGGCCTTGCCCTGGGAAAATATCGACATGTAGCAAGGCAAGCAGGCAGCAAGTATCCACTCTCTCTTTCTGCTCTCTCTCTCTCTCTCTCTCTGTCCCTCTCTCTCTTTCTCTCTATCTATCCTCCCTCTCCCTTTTTCCTGCTCTCCCTCACGCGCTTTATCTCTCACCTGCGTCTCCCCCTGCGCTCTCAGGCTCTCCCCTCTCTCTCTCTCTCTCATCGCGCTTTCTCGTCTCTCCTCTCTCTCGAAAACAATCCCCGCATTCTCTCTCTGCGTCTCTCTCTCTGTCTCTCCTCTCGTCTCGTCGGCGTCTCTCTCTCTCTTCTTTCCTCTCTCTCTCGACACCCACACTCATTCTCTCTCTTTCTCGACTCATTCTCTCTCTCTCTCTGTCTCTCCCTCTCTCTCTTC